CATGTTTCATGCCCTTTCTTAGCCATGCGGCTCACATGTGTATAGGCCTTAGATAATTACATGTGGTCTTTTCGTTTTTCATTAACCAGAACCAACACCGTTATCCGCTTAGACATATATTCAATTTGACCTATAGTAAATGGACGTAGTTGAACATTTTGGTTATTAGGGTAAAAAGCCAAAAATAACAAACGTTTGATTAAGGGATAATGTCGATTCGGAAACGGAAACTGAGGAAGCCAAAAAAATGCTGTACCAAGAAGTGTAAGGAAGACCAGCAGACAATGGCCACTTCAATTTTTTTTTTCAGAGATACTACAAAAAGGACTACGATAATAATAATAATATTAACAATATTAACAAAAGTAACAGGTAGCTATGATAGAAGGTAAAAAAGAGCCAAGCAGTTAAATTCCTTTTCGATTATATCTGAGAAGATGGAAGGAAATGCTAGTCATTGAATACCAAATCTACCAGAAAACACTTCGCATAATAGACAGGAGGAAATTGTTGCCGTGATCATCCCATGGCTGAAAATGGATCTAATAGCCACATCGGTTGAATCTTTCCGATCTGATGAAGCTTCAGAGGTCCAACTATAAAAAAGGAGTCATTTATTCGTGTCGTTATTCTGTGAATATCAATAGGTAGACTACTTCCTACCTACTACAGATGAAAGTATTACAAGCACTACTAGTAGTATACTTTATAGAATTTGCATCTTGCGTTGAAAGATGTCTACGGCCATACCTAGGCGAAAACACCAGTTCCCGTCCGATCACTGCAGTTAAGCGTCTGAGGGCCTCGTTAGTACTATGGTTGGAGACAACATGGGAATCCGGGGTGCTGTAGGCTTCCTCTTTTATTTTTTAATTCCTTTTGCTCTATATTTTTGTGTGGTTTGATTTTTTTGGTTTTATTCCTTTTCGCAAGGTTGACTCTCTTCTAGGTTAACATTCAGTAGATGTTTCGATTCATCTGGTCTAAGATTACTAGAGTTATTTGGCTCACTTTAGGGTTCAAAAGGTATTGCGTGAACTGGAAGTTGATTTTCGCTCGTCAA